ATTAGTTTTGAGGAAAATAACTCGAAATTCGAGACAGACGCGTCGAAATCTACACGAGCGGTTTAAAGTTCGCAAATCCGCATGAGCGGATTATGATGCCTTCACGGCAGGATTGCTCCGAAGAAATCTCAGAATTTTGACAAAAAACCCACTGGAGCAAAACCCAAATCCACATGAGCCGCTTTGCCTAGAAATTTCCTAGCACATTTTGTGTGATTCAGCTCGAGCAGTTGCCTAATCCACACGAGCGATTTTGCCCAGAAAACCCAAAATTTGATTTCACATCTCAAAACAAGTTTCAATGCTCAAAACTCAAAATTTTTAACTCGGAAAAAGTAAGAGTAGAAAAGAAATCTCAACGACCCAAAACGATAAACAAAACGTCGAAAATAATGCACATTATCTTACTACGCAATACTGGTCAAGTTCAAGACTCGAGACATCACATAAATTAAACCAATAAGTAAAAGGGCAAAAACGTTTAATTTCGTACTCTGTTTTTTTTTTTTTCCCCATCAGTTAGCAAAACAATTATCTACAACTCTACTATACAAAATTGATAATACTCTTAGTTTTAAAAATTAGAAAATAATTGATAATATTATCAGTTTTACTAAATAGGACTTATTAGTTCAAAAAATCTTAAATAGAACTTAAACTACCATAACATTTGTAAATATGACTTTTAAGTAATTAACTCTTTAAAAATCAAACCAAACTGATTATTTAAAAAATTAAAACTAAACTATAAGATTTGATTTGATCCAATTTACAATTTTTGAGGATTTTTTTTGGGCTAGACTTTTTTCCAGTCTGTGATCAGAATTGAGGGTACTGTTGGGCCCGTGAGGGCTATCACGGGTCCCGTTTTAATAATCTGAACCGTTAACGTGTAGAACTCGTCGAGTACTATATACTTGTAAAAAATCACGTTGATCGGACATCGATAGCTGTCTCATCATATTAGATTTTTGTCAACCATTTATTTTTCATCGTCCATTTTTTTTTATACAAAACTGATTTGATCACGTAGCTATCGATATCCGACCAACATGATTTTTTACAGACATATATTACTCGACGAGTTCCACATATTATATGGTTCAGATTATCAAAACGAGACCTATAATAAATTTTTATGGATCTAACAGTATTTTTCAATCGGATCATAAATGGATGAAAGTCTTTTTCTTCTTTTTTTTTTTTTTTTTCAATCAGTCCTAACTATTGAAAAGTGGAAGTACCGGGGCAGGATGGTAATACTTCCATCATTGAAAAGGTCAGTATTTGTTACGATAGCTATAGCATTACGGCTTTGCTTAGGAAGTGGATTAATTTTTTAATTTTTGATTTTTTTTCATTATTTAAGTTTGGGATTAAAAAGTCTGGTCTCAAATAAATCTTTTGAATTTTTTTAACTTTTTGATAAGGTGTTCACATGTGAAATTATTCAACTGCCCTTGAAGTGAAAATAGCAAACTGCTGGGCGGCTACATCTAGGAATGGCAACGGGGCGGGGCGGGGCCGGGGATGCCACTCCCCGTCCCCGATCCCCGATGACAAAAAACTCCCCGGCCCCGGCCCCGATCCCCGACGGGGAACCCATCTCCTCCACCATCCCCGCCCCCTAACGGGGATCGGGTTTCCCCGACCCCGAAAAATCCCCGCCAGATCTGTTCTTTACACACACAAGAACAACAATAAAAAAAAATGTAAGAGGGAGGGAGGGAGGTGAGAGACGTGGTTCTCAATTCTGAACAACAGATTCAAAAACCAGTTAAAAAAAGAAAAGAAAAAACAGATTCAAAAGCAGATCTACCACAAATTTGTTCATCAACAGACGCAATTCCCAATTCTCAATAACAGATCTACAACAAATTTGTTCATCAACAATAATCATCAAAAAAATGTAATCTATATATGAACAACACTCGATCAACAACTAAAAAAAAAAAAAAAAAATTGTTCATCAACAACAGATTTGTTGATTATACACACACACGCACATATATATATATATATATCGAGAGAGAGAGAGGGAGAGAGAGAGAGAGTTGTTCAGATCTGTGGCTTGACGGTTTACGGACCACGATCTGTTAGATCGGTGGCTTGACGGTTCAAATCGGTGGGTTCAGCTTGGTGGCTTCGCGTCGGTGGCTTCATGATTCAGATTGATGGCTTCATGGTGGTGGATTTGGATGATGATGACGATGATGAGAGTGAGTGAGGGAGAGGGAGAGAGAGAGTAAGAGTAAGAGAAAGACGGAGGGAGATGAGAGACGCAGTCTCTGAGAGTGAGTGAGGCAAAGGGAGAGAGAGAGTAAGAGGGACGGAGATGAGAGACCCAGTGAGTGTGAGTGAGAGGAGGTTTGGTGAAATCGGAGTGAGTGAGGGAAGGAAAGGGAGAGAGAAAGTAAAGGAAGGGAAATGAGACGCACAGTGAGTGTTAGAGGAGGGTTGGGTTTATATATATATGAGGGGTAAAAAGGTAATTTTATTTCGGGGACTAACGGGGACGGGGACGGGGACGGGGACGGGCCGGGGACGGGGCTGGGACACTTATCCCCGTCCCCGGCCCGAAAGTGGTCGGGGATTAATTTTTAAATACCATCCCCGTCCCATTGGGGATATTTTTCGGGGAAAAACCGCCTAATTCGGGGTCGGAGGATCGGGTCCCCGTCGGGCCGGGTTCAAATTGCCATCCCTAACTACAATGTAGTTTACAATAAAAAGTGTTATCTTCAACTCTTGCAATCTAGGCCATACAATCGTCTTAGATTTCGTTCGAGAAGTGAGTTGGTTTTTTAATTTTTTGACTATTTTAATTTAGAGTTAAAAAACCTAGTTTAGGATAAATTTTTTGACTTTTTTAATTTTTGTGAGAGAAAAAATAAAATGATTATGAGTTGGATGTAATATTTTATCTTATTTAACTAAAAAACTTATTTTATTTTTTTATGACTAAAAATAACTCCAAACCCAATCCAACTGTCATATTCTTCGTCGTCTTCTTCTTCTTCCTTCTCTTCTCTTAAAAAAAATTTATTTTATTTTTTTATGACCAAGCACAAAAAAAAAAAAACAAAAAAAAAAAAACAAAGTCATCTTAGATTTCAATTAGTGGTCTTTGATTTTGGATTAATTGTGGTCACAAAAAATAAAAATATGGGATCCGAGGTTTCATGGTTCCACTTTTCACGGATAGATTCTGTGGCAATTTTGAGTCTAGCTTTTCTTTTATCTGTTTAGTGCAAAGTTTTGGTAAGCTCAATTTTGATAATATAAATATAAATATAAAATTTAAATGTATTATTCTCTTAGTTTTTTAACAATTAATTTTTAAATTTTATTTTAATTATTTTTATCTCTAAATTGTAAATAAAATTACACCAAAATATTCTCACAAGATTAAAGCTGAAATAATAATTCCAAACTACTAATAAATAATGCCTTCCTTGTTATGCAAATAATTGGTTGACGATAAGTAAATAGAGATAGTCATTTTAATTCGATTTGTAAAACTTGTCTATATTCATTTGAATGGTGCGGATTTTACTTGTCTCGATACTTATGTAGAGTGAGAGTGAATTATGTTTTGATCACCTGCAACGGGGTAGGGCGGAGACAGGTATCGCCTCCTCTGAACCAAACTCACCCCAAACTTGTGCAGTGGCCATCCCTAGTAAGAAGTCTCAATACAAAATAAATATCTTTAATAGAATATGAAATATCAGTCATTTTGTATTATTTTCTCTTAAGTCATGTTTGTTTGGCTTCATATAATGAAAGAGGTTATGAGTACGGTGGGATTGAGTGAGAAGATTATTAGTATGGTAGTATTAGGTTGAAGATGTAGGATAAATAATGTTTGTTTGTACACCACTAGATTAGTTATACTATAGATAGTATTAATATATAAAATTAATATATTTTTATTTTTAGTATTTTCTTAATATTATAATTATTATTTTTTTGTTCTAAAAAATTATAAATTTTGCATAAAAATTATTTAAAAATTCACTAATTCCCGCACTCAATTTCTAATCCCAACCTCTACAACGTGATTGATACCAATAGGTGATTACGAAGGGGATAATCTCCTCGCTCGTAACTCTAATCAAACACTCTATAGATAAGTTTCACGGACTATTAATCCAATTCTCCTGATCAAAGAACCAAACAAATATTGCTTTAACTAGTTATATTTAAAAAACTCTAAAAATTGACAAAAAAATTATTAAAATAATAATGAGTATTGTTGGAGGGTACAGTCCTAATTTTTCAGCAAGAGAAGGCAATGCAAAGTGCTTACTCATGAGCGGTGATGGAGCTGAGATACATTATGGCTGTTTTTTTTTTATCAAAAGAATTGTTGGGTTAGTTGGCAGTGGAGAGAGAAATGAGTGTGCAACAGCAAAGAGAGTTCTGTTAGAATAGTTGGCAAAATGTGTCAGTAAAAAAACAAAAATAAAAACAAAAAGGTGTCAAAGCAAGCAAGCAAGCTTGGGCTTGAAGAGAAGAACCTCTTCAATCTATAATGACACATCAAAGAATACATAGCACATCATATTCACATTTCTATACATAAACTTACATAAAAGATACAGAACTTGGCAAAGAGTAAAGAGTATGGAGGAAATTGAAAGACTATTAATTTACGGGTTTGGTTATGGTGTGCAACTTACACCTTACACCTTATACCTTACACTTACACCTTACACTTACACCTTTTGTAAAAAATTAAACCTTACACTTACACCTTTTTTGAGGTTGCACACCATGTGCAACCCACTTACACCTTACACTTACACCTTACACTTACACCTTATACTTATACTTACACCTTACACTTACACTTACACTTTTTGTGTAAGTGGCACATGGTGTGCATTTGCACACTTAAGAAAACTCCTTAATTTACTAGAGCAGTTGGCAGTAGTTAAAGACTCTCTTTTAAAATCATTCATGTCACCTGTTTAGCTTGAGCAGGTAAGCAAAGCCTCTCTCTCTCTCTCTCTCTCTCTATATATATATATATATTTATGTGCTTTATCTCTCTAGCCTCCTAGCCTATAAACACTTATTTGATCTATAAAAAAGTAGAGTTTGAGGCTTCCATTTCTGTTTCTGCAAGTACCCAGTTGGTGATTTTGCTTTCTCCCTCTAGGGTTCTATCAAACACCCAATTTAAGATAAATTCAAGTCCAATTTTGATGCTATCTGATCCCTTTTTTGGGTTCCCCATCTGAGAAACCTGTTAAAGGGTTCTATGCAAGTACCCTTTTTTGGGTTCTTGTGTGATTGTTGGGTTCCCATCATCTGTAGTCTCTGTTGAAGAGATTAGAACATGCTTTGGATCAAAATTAGTGTTTAATTAAGTTTGATTGTATTTTCGTTTACAATTTTTTTAAAGAAAAAACGAAGAGAAAATATTTTCTTCTGCCTATAAACAAAAGAAGAAAGGGAATCTGCTTTATTTTTGTTAGACTGATGAGCTGTTGCTTGGCTATGATGCCATTTGTTTTCTTCTTTGTCTACTTTATGTTCTGAAAGGTTCACTTCACACAAATTACTTTTTCTACATTAGAGTAGCCTTTGATCCTAGGGTTTTTGGAGATTTTGTGCCTGGTACATTGGATGATGCAATGAGAGGCGTCCTTTTGCTTTAACCCCCTCAGTTCTACAAAGCTGCCAAGCTTGTTTGTTCCTTGTTGAGTCCTGCAAGATGCAACCAACACCTAGTTTGGGTCAAACTCACATCATTGCCTTCATTTATATAGTTCCTTTCAGTTAATTAACCACATCTAGTCCTGATTTGGGGTAATTGTTGAATTGGGTTTTTCTTTTCAAGGTGTATAGGTTGAGTTCCAAAGGGTTTTGCAGTCCTTGTGTTTGTTTTCACAACATGGGTACTGATGAGGATAGAGCTAACATGGGGTTTCAACATAGAAATGGTGATAATAGCATGTTCATATCTTCAAGTGGTGCAGACCACCCTTTCTTTGGTTCTGGTTGGGACCCACTTGTTTCACTGAGCCAGAGTGAGAATTTTGAGGGTTCTTCAGTGATTCCTCACACTTTTGGTGTTCACTATCCATCTGATTCTGGTCTTGTTGATATGGTCCCAAAGCTTCCTCCATGTTTTGGAAGTGGAAGCTTCTCAGAAATGGTTGGTTCCTTTGGCCAACCTGAGTGTGGCCAGACTGCTAGAACTGAGAAGACCTCAACAAATGGTGCACCTCCTCAGGGAGACCAACAAATTTCAGAGGAGGGTACATTGGGAATTTCACATTCTGGAAAGAGGAAGAAGAGAGTATCAGAGTCCAATTCTCCATTCAATCCCAGCAAGGTAAATAGCCTTGAACATTTTTATGATTGTAATATTGTACATTCAAATACAAAGTCCTTTGATCATGTGCTGTTGTACTACCCCAGTTGATGAATTGCTTGTTATTCATTATAGAATGGTGAGGGAGAGCAAGAAAAGGATATTTCTGCCGAGAGTTCGGAATATCAGAAAGAACAGGATGAGAAGAAGCAAAAAATTGATCAAAACATGAGTGTGAATTTGCGCGGTAAGCAAACGGGCAAACAAGCTAAAGATAATTCTAGCAATGGAGATGCATCTAAAGAAAATTACATTCATGTGAGGGCTAGACGGGGCCAGGCGACGAATAGTCACAGCCTTGCCGAAAGGGTACCTTACTTACCATCGAGAGTTATATGATGTGTTTGTTTTATGTTTCATATGTGATGTTATGAACCTCAAAATCATTTAATTGTAGGTGAGGAGAGAGAGGATTAGTGAGAGAATGAAATTGCTTCAAGAACTTGTACCGGGATGCAATAAGGTGATTGTGAAAAAGTTTAAGTTCTGATTATTTTAATGCTTAATTTTGAGTTTTGATTTGGAATGCTGATAAATGTTGGTGTTATTCACTATAGATTACAGGGAAGGCTGTAATGCTTGATGAGATTATTAACTATGTGCAGTCCCTGCAACAGCAGGTCGAGGTATTCTATTCTGCAACTCTAGGATGAGGCTTGGTTTCCTTGTTTTCTTATTGAAAGTTCATATGACATACATAATATTCTTGTTATGCAATAATCGAATATTTCGAATTCACAAAACAGTAAAGAAAATAAATCAAACAAATGGAACACAAGGTATATGTGGTTCGGTAACGTGCATACGTTCACAAAGGAGAGGGAAGATCAAATTTACTATATGCAATAAGGATTAAAAAACTCAAAACTCTACGCCTTATATAAAAGATCCCCTTACATTAAACTTGAGTGTACAACAAAAATACAAGACACCTCACAAGTAGAATCAGATCTTCTTCAATTGTGATAGCTGAAAATTGCTTGGTTGATCTGACTTTAGTGTTCTTCAATTAGAATCAGATGTGGCCCACATATAAGAAGCTTCCTCAGTTTCTTATGTCATGTTGATTATGATCGAACTTGCCCAAGCTTTTTCTGCTTATATTGATTTGATTAAGCGTGGTATAAGGTTCTTGCTATGTCCTTTTTGTTGCTTCATTTTTTAATTTTTGTGGTGAAAAATTTGTTAATATAGTAACTTTTTTTCTAATTTTTTTCACAAATCATACTAAATAATAGAACATGAAACTGAAAATCATTCTTCAACTCCAAAGAAGTTAACCAATGTAACTTATTGATCTATTCATTTGGCTCTTGTATGTTTCACAACTCAATGAATATGTACTACTTTTCTTGTTGCAGTTTCTGTCAATGAAACTTGCCACTGTCAATCCACAACTAAACGTTGATATAGACAGAATTATATCCAAAGAGGTGAGTTAAATTTGCACAAAATAAATCAATACATTTCTTTGATATTTGGTGCTGTTTTGAAGTTCATCATAGTTTTCTTTTCGTATAGATTCTACACTTACGAGGCAGCGGTGCAGCTATTCCTGGATTTGATCCAGGATCAAGCTCTTCTCATCTGTACCCACTGGGTATTCAACAAGGAACCTTTCCAGGTATCCCGAGTGCATCACCGTTTCATCTCATGCCTCAGGTAATTTGAAGATCTCCTTGTTTACTAGCTTAGAAGAATAAAATTTCCTTATTTTGGAACTCTCATCTTTACCAGTAAGCATTGACTCGAGACATCTATCTTGTTCGCGCAGAATGTATGGGACAATGACCTCCAAAGTTTTCTCCAAATGGGATTTGATTCTAATCCCGCTATCAGCAATCTTGAACCAAATGGTAAATAACAGAAGTTCAATTTGTGATTCACTGCAGACATTTTTACTTATTGCTTGTTATTCTAACCTCAAAATTTTCGGTTTGTTTTTGTTGTCAGCAGGTCGATCAAAATTGGAGCGATAGTATTTTTGAAGAGTTAAAAAGTCTCTTTCCTTCTAATATATGCTATTCAATTTTCTTTAATTTGACTGCACATTCAGTTGCTCTGGTAATGACAAAAAAAAACAAAAAAAAAATGGAGTTGTATAGGTTGTCAGCTACTAACTGTTTGTTTCTTCGAATTTTATCAGAAGAAGATGACTTTTTAGATTTACAAACCATGTGATTAGTGAAGATGATTTTTTTTCATTGGTGTTGTAGATTTATATTACTATGTTTGAAGCTTTTACAAGTGTTTTGGGGAGATATTTTTCAGAGAGTTTATTTTTAGATTGAATCAATTTGAAAAAAAAACACCAGACAAGAGAGATTGTTTTTGAGTTTTATGTCATTTCTCTATTTTGTCGAACAATAATTAATGTACATTTTGTAACTTCGAAACTCAATGTCGAAGCTGGGAAATGTTAATGTACTCTTTGTGATTGAATTACTCTTTGCTTTGCTTGTAATTTAACGAGAGCTTTTTTTTTTTAAAAAAAAATAAAATAAAAATCTTACGGTAAATAATTGGGTTATTCTATGAAAAAATTAATACAAAACGATATAACATAACAAGCACAAAAAAATGGACGTACTTTGAAATACCTCTTTTTTGGGTCTTCTCTTCTTTGTACCGACCCTTGAAACTTTTGACCTGAGGATTAACACGACATGTTTAATACCAACAAACTCAAATAGGGCTAGTGACTCAAGGAGCTTAATATATTCAATTATACAATTTGATTGAACCAGGCTTCCTATCATGCATCACAGCCCCAAGCCCAATATCAATGTCTCAAATATTCTGGTGCAACAGCAAAATTGATTTGGATCGGTCTAAATTGGTTTGGTTCGGGTTTTTTGAGATGATGGGTAAGTTTTGATTCCAAGTAATTAGGAATCATTTATTGGTGGTGTTTGGTGTAGCTGTTAAAACAGATTATAGATTATGGCTTAACAGATTATAGATTATGACTTTAATCAGAAGCGGTTAATCTGTTTGGTATAGCTGTTGGATTATAGATTTAAGTTGCTGAGTAGTGTTTGTTAAATAAGCTGTGAAGTAGCTTTTTCAATTAATTTTTATTTTTTATTATTCACTATTTGTCTACATTTTTCATAAAAAATAATAATAATATTTAATAGTCCATTTGAGTCTTTTTCTATTTTTAAAAAAATAAAAAATAAAAAAATCTAAGAGTATAACCGTGAATTAACATGTCCACAGCAGAAGCTGATAATCAGAAGCAAGGGGTGAGCAGCTTCTCAGAATCAGCTTTTTTGACTTAAAATAAGTTGTTAGAATCAGAAGCTGTTTGAAATAAGTTTAACCAAACAGTCCAAAATAACTTTTTAAAAGCCAGAAGCCATAAGTTGGCTTAAAAAAGCTGCACCAAACACCCCCATTATGGTTTGATTTTCAGATTAAAACTCAAAAAGTTTTTATACCTCTTATATTTTTAATAAATGCATTTATGTAGTACTTAATATATAATATGAAGAATTTCTTCTATATTTACACATTTTATAAAAGTTAGTTTGGAAAATATTATGAAATTCTTAATTATGCTTGCAGATTGTTTTGGAATGCTTTTATAGGTAAATTAAGTTTTTTTATTAAACTAGATAGTATGATAATGGGCCCGTTTGGTGTAGCTGTTAAAACAGCTTATAAATTATACCTTAACAGATTATAGATTATGACTTTAATCAGAAGTTGTTAATCTGTTTGGTATAGCTGTTGGATTATAGATTTAAATTGCTGAGTAGTGTTTGTTAAATAAGCTGTGAAGTAGCTTTTTCAATTAATTTTTATTTTTTATTATTCACTATTTGTCTACATTTTTCATAAAAAATAATAATAATATTTAATAGTCCATTTGAGTCTTTTTCTATTTTTAAAAAAATAAAAAATAAAAAAATCTAAGAGTATAACCGTGAATTAACATGTCCACAGCAGAAGCTGATAATCAGAAGCAAGGGGTGAGCAGCTTCTCAGAATCAGCTTTTTTGACTTAAAATAAGTTGTTAGAATCAGAAGCTGTTTGAAATAAGTTTAACCAAACAGTCCAAAATAACTTTTTAAAAGCCAGAAGCCATAAGTTGGCTTAAAAAAGCTGCACCAAACACCCCCAGTGACATGAATGGTTCAGATCATTTTGGGGCTCTGAAAAGCTGAAACAAACACCCCCAACATTGATAAATTTTCTGATCTAGATCCGTAGAATTGAATCATAGCCAAATTGTTCAAATTTTGTAGTTCAGTTTGATTCTTAAATTTTTAAAGCCATATTGTTCTTGATTCACCTTAAAATCAAACCAAACCAAACTAGTATGTGAACAATACTATACAAACAAACTTCTTTTATAAATTGACATGTCACTTATCAAAGTAATAATCTGGCTCCATTTCACATTTCAAAATTTAACCACTCAATGATCCAAATGCAATACATGATCATTAAAGTGGATTGAGTTGGAAAAAAAATACATATGACAAGAGAGATTTTTTTAGGCGTTGGCTTCTGTCCAGTCCTTAATCGGACTAGACCGTGTTGTTGGGCTTGTAGGGGCCCACCACGGGTCTCGTTTTGATAATCTGAACCATTCAATGTGTAGAACTCGTCGAGTACTATAAGCCTATAAAAAATCACGTTAATCGGATATCGGTAGCTATGTGATCAAATTAGATTTTTGTCAACCGTTAATTTATTCACCGTCCATTTTTTTTTTATACAAA